ATGTCCTTGAAATTCTGTTTCAAATTTTTTTGAAATTTTCTGCGCTCGTATATTCACAAGGTCGCAACACAGCGCACATCAAACATAAAAGAATTCAATAAGCACTGTTGGATTGTGCTGTTTCTGCGGATTATCGAGCGCTAAAAAAGAACCGGAGAATCTTTTTCAAAAAAGATAGAAGAGCGGTTGAATTCTGGAAAAATCGTGTTGTCTCAAATTTTGCCCACCGTAACCCTAAAATGCGAAGTTCTGCTAAGCAGATGTGATTTTCGTAATCAGAAAATTAGAAGACCCCTATGAGCAAGTTCTTAAAGAAATTCGGGTGATTTGATTTTTTCTTGTTCTACGCCCTTGAAGCTCGCCGATGGGTTTTGGTCAAAATGTCGGTGATATTGGATTGTAAGGAAACTTCGCTCAAAGAGGTTTTCGAACAGGTTATTCACGATAATCGTCTTTTGCGGGGAGTACAGAGTTTTCTAGCGAGATATGGTAAGGAAACTTTAGTTAAGCCACGAAAGTTCGTAGATTCGCCTGCATTTTTCGAGCACCTCTTAGAAAATCTTCTTGCTTGCCTCTAAGGTTAAATTCACTAGAATGAGTGCTATTTAATGGTGCATGCAATTGGCTTCAATCTGTAGCAATCGCCGAGCTACGGGCCTACGAAATCACGTCCTTATGAGTTTTGCCCAAAATGTACATATCGCCTGCTTCGTAAAATTTCACCTAGGTGATTGTAATCCACGCTAGCCACCAATTCTGTGTTTACATGGCTTAAAGAATCTATACTGCTGTACTGGAAGTAATTAAATAGATCTGAGCTCTAGCCACGAATCTGCTTTGATATTCACCTAAGCGGCTCAGGCACACACAACCATCAGACCCAGTACAATAAGATCTCAAGGATCTTTCGAGTTGAACATAAAATTTGCGACCACAGTGTCTTACAGTCTCTTAGGTGGAATTTCTGCGAAGCAGGCGATCTTTACGTTTTGGTTTTAACTCATAAGGACGTGATTTCGTAGGCCCGTAACTCGGCGATTGCTACAGATTGGAACCAGGTGCATGCACCTTTCAATAGCGCGCTTTCTAGTAAACTTAACCTGTAGAGGCAAGCAAGCAGATTTTTTAAGAGCAGATTTTTGCTCGAATAATGCAGGCGAATCTACGAACTTTCGTGGCTTAACTAAAGTTTCCTCACCATATCTCGCTAGAAAACTCTGTACTCCCCGCAAAAGACGATTATCGTGAACAACCTGTTCGAAAACCTCTTTGAGCGAAGTTTCCTTACAATCCAAGATCACCGACTTTTGACCAAAACCCATCGGCGAGCTTCAAGGGCGTAGAACGAGAAAAAATCAAATCACCCGAATTTCTTTAAGAACTTGCTCATAGGGGCCTTCTAATTTTCTGATTACGAAAATCACATCTGCTTAGCAGAACTTCGCATTTTAGGGTTACGGTGGGCAAAATTTGAGACAACACGATTTTTCCAGAATTCAACCGCTCTTCTATCTTTTTTGAAAAAGATTCTCCGGTTCTTTTTTAGCGCTCGATAATCCGCAGAAACAGCACAATCCAACAGTGCTTATTGAATTCTTTTATGTTTGATGTGCGCTGTGTTGCGACCTTGTGAATATACGAGCGCAGAAAATTTTTAAAAAATTTGAAACAGAATTTCAAGGACATGCTGTACAAAGTAAGATTCAACTTGACGAGGTAAACATAATGCTGCTTTCGGATTTCGAAAATGTCCATTCTGAAGGAAGTTACGGCTAGTAGAACTTGGAATAGCTTGATTTTTCCAGAGTTTATCGGCTCTTTTGTCTCTTAAAGAGTGTCTTCGGCTGCTGTTCAAAGCAGGATAATCTACTGAAAGAGTACTATTGAAAGGTGCCCGCCGCAGTCTCCCTTGTATGATGCTCGTTGCGTTATACCCATGCGAAAAGGCGTCCGCATGCGAATTCTAGATTACTGAAAATGGGATATTGGAGACAACCTGTACATCAGAATATTCGTCTTGACGAGCTAAATACATTGCTGTTTTCGGATTTTGAATGTACTCATTAGAAAAGAAGTTATGGCCCTGCGTAATTTGCGTGATTTACATGAACTTCGCGAAATTCCGAGAATGTCGCGAAATTCCCGGAATTTCGCGAAATTGGAATTCCGCGACATTCATGGAAATTTTGTACATTCCGTGAGCGGTATTGTATACTACTGCCAAAGGGCTTCGAGCAATCTTACAAAACGGCCTCTATTTTTGGAATCATGTAATTTTGCGTTTGGCATATGTCTATTTATCTAATAAAACCAGCAGAAAAAGGTAATATTAGGTTGTCCGGAAATCAATGCAGGTTTTGAATTCCAACCGCAATAAGTCATACACTTCTCATTTCTAAGTATGTTGCAAGGTACCGTTCGATAGGGCAAAGCAATCTCTACAAGATGGAGCTCTTGCTTTGGCAATAGCTCGGATCCACAACGAGTTTCGCGCCAAAAACTAAAAACATTTAAGTGTCCGAAAAATTGAGAAAAATCGTAACTCAGTTCATAAAAATCCTATAAAAATTCTAACTTACTCACGTAAACGTAATCCGCATAGAGCATCTGTATACGCAGTTGCGTATTTTCTTCTCTGTTGAACATCAAAAAAAAACGGAGATTTTCGTGCATTTGCCAAAGTGATGCTGTGCCGATCCCACATAAGTAATTGTATTCTACAAGCCTGTACAAGTACAAACATAAATTTCCAGCTCTCTACAAGCTTTAGTTCTCGAGAAATTTGAATTTTAGCTTGGACCACATGACTAGGGAAAACTGTATTCGATATTTGATATATTGCTGAAGCAAGAGAACCATCTGGTAGAGCTTGCTTTGCTCTATCCAACGGTGCCTTGCAACCTACTTAGAAATGAGAAGTGTATGACTTATGCGGTTGGAATTCAAAAACTGCACTAATTTCCGGACAACCTAATATTTTTGGCATTTTTCCCGAAAATCATTACTTTTTATAAAGCCTAGCACATCTAGGCAGACGGAATAAAAAGTCCTATTTTTTAATTAATACCATCTATTTTGTGTTTTCTTGCATGGTTGAGATGCGCTTGCTGAAAATGGGCTTGCTCAGAATCACCGAAGCTTTGATCTCATTCTTTCCTTTTTATGCGTGTAGTCCCAACTTAGTAGGTAACTTAGAAAAACCCTTAGAAAGTTTAAACTTTACTTTTTATAAGGGTTTTCTCTAATAGCAACATTATTGAGATAGAAGCTACGATTTTGTAAATGATGCGAACAAACTTTCAGTTCAACCTAATGCATGCAAGAATGGTACCAAATCAAATTCCATGTTTTCTAGTGAATAATTGAACTTTGTGCACAAATATCCAAGAACGATCAAGCTCTGAAAACGCCTCACAGCCTTACAAGTTTATGCTGCAATGTGCCATCTATTAGGTTGTTACATAAGTCTTGTTACACACTTCTTATGGCGATAAGTCAAGCACCTCACATTCTTTACAGGGCTCCAGGGTAGCATTCGATAGAGCAAAGCAAGCTCTACAAGATAGTATGCAAAAGTGCGCACCAACTTCGACCAACTGTAAGTTTGCATCCGGAATGTGAGTCACACTGAAGGCTCAAATAATAGAAAAAATTCATATACTTGTTCAAACCAAAATCCTACGAATCTCCAGCTTGCTCATAAAAATTGCACACTATGTTAGACACTCATATGTACCGCTGCTAAATTTCATCTAGAAGTTGAGAAAACGAAAATTTTTCTGTTTCTACAAAAACGGAGCTATGCTGCTTTTATTCATGTAGCTGTATACTAAAGCCTTGGAAGTATAACCGTAAATTTTCAGCTTTTCAGAAGCCCTAGTTTTCGAAAAATACTGAATCCTTTTTTCACCCGGATGTTAAATGCTGAATCAGGTATTTTTTGAATACTAGGGTTTCTGGAAAGCTGAAAATTTACGATTATACTTCTAAGGGCATGTAGTAAACAGCTACATGAATAGAAACAGCATATCTCCGTTTTGTAAAAACAAGAAAATTTTCGTTTTCTCGATTTCTAGATGAGGAAAAAATACAGCAACGGTACATGTGAGTGTCTAAATAGTGTGCAATTTCTAGGAGCAAGTAGAATTGTAGAATTTTTTTAAGCGAAGATAAAGCCTTTAGTACGACTCTTTGGATGCAAACTTATAATGTTTCGAAGTTGGTGCGAACTTTTGCATACTGTCTTGTAGAGCTTGCTTTGCTCTATCGAATGGTACCCTGAAGCCCTAAAGAATGTGAGATTCTTCACTTATCGCCGCAAGAAGTTAAGTTTAACAAGACTTAGGTAATGACTCGAAACGAAATTATAACTCCATATAGACAGCATTGAAACCAGCAGTAGCTGAAGTGAGTCTAAAAGCAGTGAGGTGACTGCATATAGCCTAGTACCTCATTTGTATTATACCCTTCCCCTTTCGTTAGTCTATAACGTAAATTTCGAAGACTAACGCAATTGCGTGCTACCAAAATGACGAGGGAATTTTGAAAATTTTTTGAAAGCGTTTGATTTGGTTTTTGAACGTAAATTTAAAAAAGTACGCCAAATGCACTTTTACTATAGTACGAATTGTTTGATCGCTTGGATAAAGGCAAGAAAACTTGAGGACTACTTAATAAGAAACTCATTTTTTAGATTTTTGTTTGCAAGCAACAATGAGAAAGATCTCAAAAACGCAAACGCAGCCCTCTAACTAAGCAAGCAGGGAAAGCGAAGTGATGCCTACATCTGGATAAGTACATGATCTCTCCATTGTCATCGAAATGTTGGCTTAATTCATTTCACGTAAAAACAAATTTTTTCGCGTAGAAGTCCTAACGCGACGTCTCAAATTGCTTTGAGATCAAGTTCCAGTTAAAGTAAAGGCCAGCCACCTCGTTTTGGATCTAGACATCTAATACTCGCTTTGCGATCAGTTACCACAGTTTGAGTATACATTCAGTACAAATGGGGAGAAGAGGCAGGAGGTCACGTCATCAAGATAATTGGATGGGGTGTGGAGAATGGGGTCAAATATTGGCTAGTAGCCAACTCCTGGAATTTTGATTGGGGAGAAGAAGGTAAACAGAACATGTAAGCTTTTATTTATGAGTTACTACTCAATTGTTTGAGGATACTTTAAAATACTTCGTGGATCTAACGAATGTGGAATTGAAGAAGAAGTTGCAGCAGGCATGATAAAAGTATAATTATACTACTCTGTTGTGACCTATCGTATGGCTTGTTAGATTAAATCTGTATTTTGAAGCATAAAAAGAATGCGAATCGTCTCCAGATTTTTATTGAAACAGACTGCAGAGTGTAGATTGCTTCCAGCATTGTTGCGTAGTTCTTACTGATTGAGTAGCATTCCAAAGGGTAACTGATGAATAGAACAAAGTAAATTCAGTCATGCAAATTTTTTCAACCGCCTGAGTAACTATGTGATAGTTGGAGAACTACAATGTGCATTTGAAAACCTGCCATGAATTCTCAAGCAATTCTCAAACAATAATCATATTTTGATATTCTGACAACCTCCTCTGCGCTTTCTGAAGTTTGACTCATCTCTGAAGTACCGCCAGAGAGATGCCTTCAGTCAACAACAGAAAAAAAGCGGAACAAAAGTCTTTCTAGAGATTTGCTACTTCAGGCAAAGTCAGTAAGTGAAGTCGCTTTTTCTTTCTACAAAGTTAAGGGAAAGATACGTGCTCAGTACTGTTGAAATGGATAATCATTACAAACGTGGAATGTTATCAATATATCTAAGGAAACAAAAATGATTTTGACAAAAAAAAAACGTTGACAGGCGTCTGAGGATCATTTGCGATTACAGAGATTGGAAAAAACGCGGCTTGAACAGCAATGCGCTTCCGTTCATAATAATTGCAGTGAAGGTTAGTACAGACACTCGCTGCCCAAACGTAAAATTTGATCTCTGGTGTTCCAGGAAATAAGCTTTTTTTGCAGCTAAGCCAAGCAACAGTACTATAGCTTAGAATATGCTGAAAGATCAAGAAATTGGTATCATGAAAAGTAGCCGGAACCGGTTCCGCGCCTAAGTATATTGTGCAAAGTTTGGTCCAAATCGGTTAAAAAATGATTTTTTTCTATTCGGACAGGAGACAGACGCACACGAAACACTCACAGGCACACAAATAACGCTTAGCTTCGTAAGTAAGATTCCAAGTGAATCTTACTTGTTTCCTCACTGATTTTGAAGAATGTGATTGCACAATCTGAAGATGTAACGAACTCATAAATAGTTAAGTACTGAAGTCATCGTGCAAAATTGATTTTTCTTGCCTTCTTTCGGCAGGTCAAAGTTATAAGTAATTCGCAATGAGGTTCTGTGCTGAACGTTTCTACCGTAATCCTACAATGATAGAAAGCCAGCATTCATTCGCTGCTTATCGCGCTTATTGCATATTGTATATTAGATTGCTTTAGAAAATGATATCTGAAGATCAGCGGAAAATTCGCACAAGAGAGATATTAACTACCTGACAGTACATTCAGATCGAAGGCTCTATTCGAAAAGGAGTCGTCACGAGCAAAAGAAACAGAACATTAAAAGCTGAGCTGTGCTTCATTAATGGGAGGTAGGGTTGGAGCGTAGGTGGATCAAAGCGAAGGTATCTCGAGAGGACATACATGCTGGCTGCGATTGCTTTACAGCATTGGTAAGATACAAATTTTTCAAAATCACTTAAGGATGAACAAAAAAGGGAGGCAGGCGTTTTGAGCTTTTTTTAAACTTTAAATTTGCTCAAATTGTCGACTTTTCCATTATATGACCATTGTAACGCGGCTTTTGTGCCGTTTATAAGGCTAAATCTTCAAATAATTCTCTATAACCTTCTATATTTGGTGGCATGTTGACTCCGCGTATTCGCACAGTGCTAAACCAACCTTGATTTTACTTTCAGGCATGCTGAAGCATACCGCTATCTCATTTGCAGGTGCCGAATGATGTAAATCTTGATCTGAACGTGTTGTGTCTCCGCACAGGCTACTAAATTCCCCTAAAGCTTCAACCTTGGTTCAGTGTTTGCCAATTGCAGTATGACCTACATATAACACCCTCATCAAAGGTCTCTTCAACCGGTAAATGTAGGGTTCATAATGAGTGCAAGAAAACTCCCAAAAGGCTAACATTTCTCACTAACAGAGAATATGCATGAAGCTGCATATTATCAACCCGCTCATAAAAAATTATCCTTTTGCAGGTGTTGCAATCTTGATTAATAAATCTGTTTACTCGGTTCTAATCGGTTTCAGTATAGTTCCTAGTAACTGTTTGAAATGTAGAAATAGCAGCACTCTACGAACTGTCATTATAGCCTTATGCAAATATGGAATAAGGAAATAGGCATATTTTTTCTGCACTGGGTCCTTAGAGGCAGATCTAGAGCAAGTTAAAACTTTTTTGTTGGCCATAAAACAAATGTTGCAGGAAATTCTGGTATCGACCACGTTAAGGCGGCATTTTTTTCAATTTTTCACGCCAATTAAGCATCTCAAGCTACTTTGCAAAGAAGGAATTACTAGTTACTCCAGGCTGTGACAGAGAGTGCAGTTTCAACTTTCAACACAAGAAAGCCGCCATTCAGAGAACGTCTAAAACAGCTTTGAAGCATTGACAAGAAGAGTGTAATGTAAGCTTCCTTCACGTCCAAGTCCCTTTTACTGAAGATAATAGCTGCTTGCCTTACTCGATGAAATCAGGAGAAAAGCAATAGATAATTTTAAAGTCTCAGTCTTCGTCACCTGCTTGATAATGAACTGCTATCAGGTCTGTCATAAAGCTCAAAGTAGTGTGCCCTTTCTGATATGAAGTAACGAATGATGTCACTTTGTGTGTAAGGGTTTATCGTGATAGCATTGATTTACTGTCACTCAATGATAACATCAGGCATGATATGCTTCTTAAACATGCTATTTTCTCAATCTGGCAATGAATACGGAAATCCTGTAATCACAAAAGTCTATTATCAAGATCTGGTTTTAGAAGTGAGCTGTGAAAGGATATGATGATCAGCCCGCGATTGAGCGGTAGATACCAGAAGCGGTATGTATCAGTCTCCCGTTCGGATTGGTGTTCCCGTACAAGTCGTAATCCAACCAGACCAGCGCATAACCCATAATGCGCCTGACCCTGGCAAGAGCCCGGTCAGGCAGGACCGAGCTTTCTATGCTTCAAGAGATTTGTATGATGTGGGATTTAATTTGATTTTGAGATATACCAAAAAATTAGTTCTCGGACTGGATAGATCGGGTTTTGAAACTCTTTCAAATTTTACAATTGTATAAACAAGTCAAATTAGACAAATCTTTGCAATATAACAATTAACAGTTCTTACTAGGTTAATTTATGAATAAATTTTCGATTTACTAGCGTTTTGGCTATCTGATCAAAAAAATGCACTATTTTATAGGTGACTAGGAATTGCGGAACTTTCAGACATTCGTGATAACTCGCGCAGTAGATTCGCATTACCGCGAAAAAAAAAAACATGAGCACTGTTGCAGCAAACCCGCTTCTGTCGCGACTTTCAGGCTAATCCGCGATACTCAAAGCAAGTCGGGAAAAATTCGTAACTCTTGTAGAGACTTCCGACTGACTTGCGATTTCAAATGCACGCGGCCAAATTACGCGAGATGAACGCGCTCATTTTTTGGCGTTGCTTCCGCTCTACGGGCTGCACCTAATTGCTTTCATTTTTGACTTTTTTGACTTTAGCGAGGCACAAAAACTGAGCCAGGCAAGCACTTCGCCGGATTTATTGAGTTAAGGATCACTGCACAAAAAACTCCTATCTCAACTTTGAAGAGCAAGCGAGTATTATCGCTGCAACCGTGTTGTGAGTTCAGACAAGTGAGCAGCAGTTTGATTTGAGCCTATTGGCAATTCAGTCTGACTTAGAGCCAAGAGCTCAGAAACTTTTTGGTTTTTTCTCTGACATTTCCATCTTTTCCCATTTAGTATGTATTTTTCAGTTAAGCATAAGCCCTCGTTATTAGCTAGTGTGTTTCTTTATCCTGGCTAGCAAGTAGTCCAACAAGCACTCCTTCGCTGCTGCTTCTTTTCATAGGAGTGTCTCATGTTATTTGGAAAAGGAATCGAGTTCTGTTTGTACTGATCAAGAATTGTATAAGCGGCGCGAGAATGAAAATCAGTGCTTTTCCTAGAAATGTTTTTGCGCCTAAAGCGAGTTTTAGCGGCTCATAATTTTACGAACACCTCAAACTAAACAACCTTCCTTTCTCAAATTACAGTCTTTCAAGTCAGAATGTTTTGTAAAATTACAATAATGAATTCTGATATGTCTGTTACACACTGAACCCAATGCAGTTCAAAGATGAGCATCACTCATTTCAAGTGATTCAAAATGCTTCTGGAGCCAGTGCAGTCCAAGATGTCCGTTTTCTGTGGTTCAAGCACTCTAATTAGCTTCTGTCAAGTTTATGAGATAGGCTAAGCTTCTTTAGTAAAGACTTCATTCAGAACGTGAAACACTCCTTTGCAGCTGTTGCGATTTTCAACCAAGTTACAACTTTTACCCTGGAATTAGCACGATTTCGAGCCTTAAAACTTACAAGGGAATAGTCAGAAGTCGAAGTGGCCAAACCATACAAGCTGCATACCATCAAATGCACCATAAAACGCTGACTCTAAATCTGTCTTCCATATCCGCAGAGCGCTTTTGTGGACGAAATTATGAGCCGTTAAAGGCTATTATTTTGCTAAGAAATTGTGCGTTTAAAGTGCAAACTTGGCCGTACAAAGCCATTCTCGGCTCAGTGTTGACCAAAACGTGCAACTAGTTCACTTCATATGACCCGTACCAAAAGGTGAGCTGAAAGAGCAATAATGTGCCTAATTTCGCAATTTTTATATGCAGTTTTTACGCAGTAAAACTGCTCATAACTTCGCCTACAAAGGCGCTCTGCAGATATGGAGGGCATATTTGAAATCAGCATTTTATGCTGCATCGAATGGTATGTAGCTTGTATGGATTGGCCACTTCGATTTCTGACCATTCCCTTGTTAGCTACTGTCTTACAAGAGTTGCAATAGGCCAAGTGCACTGCTTGGTATGCTGATGCTGAAGCTTTTGGATTTTTTACAGGAATAATCTTGGACTTTGGAGTTAGGCCAAGAGAGGTTGGTTACAGGATCCAACATAGGTATTTCTCAAAAAAAGAGGTCAGCGCAGCCGAAACAAACGTTCAGCGTTTCAAAACTTTTCTAGCCAAACATGAAATCTTGCAAATTTGTGCACTGTGCTT